ATTAGATAATGATAGCTACATGGTTTGGTGTTCTTTATGATCTTTAATTTGCATTATTGATGTCTGCCACTCTCAGTTTTTTTCAGCCTCAATAATGAAGAGATCACCAATTAAACTCGTTTTTATCATGCATGTTTCAATTAATGTTTACATGTTCTTTTTATTGTAGTCTAATTTTAACCAGATAGTATTTGAATCCATTTGCTATTTGAGCTGAGAAAACTTTCATGCAAATTCTGAAGGTAAAATCTCTATGTTCAACCATCAATAGATGATTTGATGGTAAAAGAGTAAAAGAGGATCTAACATAATCTCCCAAATTCGAGTTCCCTTGATAGTAAAAGAGTAAGAGGAGGATGTAGTATGGTCTCCCAAGTTCAAGTTCTTGGGATGGTAAAAGAACAAGGGGAGGATCTAATATATGGTCTTCCGAGTTCGATTCCCCACGACCCCTAATAGGGGTGGCATTGGAGCTCTTACTCGATCGATAGTTCTAGGGTCTTGGAGGATTAGTTGTGGTGCACGCAAGCTGGTTCTGACACCCCCGGTCATAGAACAAAAAATCTATATTCTTTAATTCATTCATGGCTAGCTAGATGAGAGACAGGGAGAGACAGAGAGACCATTAAGTTCATCAGACAGTATGATCCAAAGTTGATTATCCAAAGTTCTTAACTGTGGCAATTTCTTTATTTATTATTGATTTGGGGGCTTAAAAAGAGTTTGGATGGGGCTTAAATAACACCACTCATAATTAGAACAACAAGTTTTGATGATTATCACAACCTTCCCATTAGGGTTTGATAACCTTAGGATTCGTAGGTTTTTTTTTTTTTTTTTTTTTTTTTTTGGGTAACCAGGGTGTCCGGGTCAGCTTGCATACACCTCAACTAATCCTCCCGGCCCATTAAACACTCTACAAGCCCAAAAGACTAAGTAAGTCACAATATGATAGGTGGCACCAAAGTTTGAACCTAAAAACTTAAGGAAATGAGCAAACCTCCTTGACCACCAAGCCAATCCCTTGGGTTTAGGATCTGTAATTCTATGTGCCTAATTGTTATCCCTACGTGAGAGAGCTTAAGACATCTTAATTTGTTTACCATCCTGTAACTAAACATGAGGATATTTCATCAATACCACATAATGTATTTTACATCGGCATCATCATGAGGTGGATAAACACTCGTTTAAAATGAAACTTCGTCTAAGGATCTTAAAAATCCTCGTAAAATATTTATTTACTTAAAGTCGAAATGGTAGAAGAATTCTTTTTGTTTTAATATGAATTTAGTCTCGTATGCTTGCTTTCAACATGCCCCTTGACTTCCGTGACCTTGAGAAATAGGCAGGCTCTAATGTGGGTCTGGATATCTCAAATACCTTAAAAAAGAAAAAAAAATGTGCCCCTTGACAATGAACCAAGAATTAAAGATGTAAAAATTAATAAAAGATCGACCAAGATTATAAAGTAAAGACCCGTAATTAATGAATCGATATTTCATTAAGGACATGGTAAGAATGAAATTAATATGCTAGAAAACAGAAGAATTAATTAACTATATTTTCATCACTCAAAAGATACCCCATTAAACATAAAACAAAGTTCATAAATATAATATTTGAATAACAAATGTATAATAATATCGAGAAAAAATAAGTGGAAGCATGAGTTTCATATGCCTTCACAGCCCCGACCCTATTGCAGTCAGATATTCAGGGAAAAATAGAAATAAACAAATAATTAACTCTTCATATGGGGTAAGTCGTCTCAGTCGATGATCTTCTTTACAAGATCATATATTGTCCATGGAGTTAAAATTATTGGATTTCAAATTGAATTAATTAACATGCTTTCATATCATCTTTAACACATGCTTAATTATTTTTACCGCTCTAATCACCTGCATGAAACAGAACTGGAGTGTTTCATGCAGTCAAGAAAAATTAAGTTACCTTCACGCTAATATCCATATATATTAGGTTGGTGTCGGCATTAATTTCACTATTATTAAACCAAAGACAAATTAAAAAAGAAACATGTGCGAATGGATAATTAATGTAGAGACAAAGAAGAAGGGGTGAATGAGTTTAATATACGCTAGAATATTTTATTTTTCCAAATCTTTAAAATAATTTATATATTAGATAGTGGTAGCTAGCATGGTTTGGTGTTCTTTATGATCTTTAATTTGCACTATTGATGTCTGCCACTAACAGTTTTTTTCAGCCTCAATAATGAAGAGATCACCAATTAAACTCGTTTTTATCATGAATGTTTCAATTAATGTTTACATGTTCTTTTATTGACCATATAGTATTTGAATCCATTTGGTATTTGAGCTGAGAAAACTTTCATGCAAATTCTGAAGGTAAAATCTCTACGTTCTTTAATTCATTCATGGTTAGCTAGATCAGAGAGAGAGAGAGAGAGACCATTAAGTTCATCACACAGTATGATCCAAAGTTCTTTAAGTGTAGCAATTTATTTATTTATTATTGATTTTGGGTTTTAGAAAGTTTGAATGGGGTTTAAATAACACCACTCATAATTAAAACAAGTTTTGATGATTATCACAACCTTCCAATTAGGGTTTGACAATACTAGGATCTGTATTTTTTTTTTTTTTTTTTTTTTAGTAATTAGAGAATCCGAATCAGTTTGCGTGCACCTCAACTAATCATTACGGTCCATTAAATACCCTACAAATACAAAGGATCAGGTAAGTCACAATGTGGTGACACCAAGGTTTTAACTTTAAATCTAGAAACTCAAGGAATTGAGCAAACCTCTTTAACCGCCAGACCACTCCCTTGGGGTTAGGATTCGTAGTTCTATGTGCCCAATTGTTATCCCTACGTGAGAAAGCGTACGACATCTTAATTTGTTCTGCATATTTAAGTTTGTGGAAGGCCAAAATGTTTACTGTAATGAGCTACATGAGATACAAAGAGTGCTATCCTATAACTAAACATGAAGATATTTCATCAACACCACATATTATATTTTACATCGACATCATCACAAGGTGGATGAACACTCATTTAAAATGAAACTTCGTCTAAGGATCTTAAGAATCTTCATAAAATATTTATTTACTTAAAGTCCCACACCGACTAGGCATGCTCAAGTCTACTGTTTTATAAGAGGAGGTAATCCTCCCATTCAACAAGGCCTTATTGGGTGAGAAGTCAAGCCCACCTCAAATTCTATCATGGTATCAGAGCCATAGACAAACGTCTTTGGTTCAATTTTCTCGGATTTTTCTTCTTTTTCTTTAAGAATTTGTAGCTCAATTTCTGCAATTGGTAAACATGGAAGCTGGATCCAGTAGCTTGACCGCTTCAAGAACTCCACCTACTCTACCTACAATCTTTGTAAAACTTCTTGATAGGAACTACTCATTTTGGCGTTCACAAATTCTTCCAGCCTTAATTTCACATGGTCTTGATGGATATTTCACTGGGGAAAAAGAATGTCCTCCGATGTTCATAATAGAGTCCGACGAGGAATCTGGCAAATTGGTCAAGAAAGGAAACCCTAGCTACTACAATTGGAAGAAAATTGATCAATTCTTGGTAAGTTGGTTCTTATCTTCACTTTCAGAGTCCATGTTCCGTCATGTAGCTAAGTGTGGCACTTCATATGAAATATGGAACACTCTTGAACTTCATTTCAATCACTATCTAGAGCTAGAACTTTACACTTGTGAAACTTATTACAAACCACTAAGAAGAACGCACTTAGTATTAGTGAATATGTCTTGACCATGAAAGGTTTGGGTGATGAATTGATTGCCAGTGGAGTGTCAATTAGTGATGAAGAGTTATTGTTGTACATTTTAGATGGGTTAGGTCCTGAAGATGACGCTATAGTGGCTTCATTGACTACCAATAGTAATAACATGACCTTGCAAGAAGCACAATTCTTCTTACATAAACATGAAATGCGACTTGAAAGACAAAATAGTGTTCTGAATATGTTTCCTGATCAACTAGCCTCTGCTTTGGTAGCCTCTAAACAGAACTCTAGTAATGGCAGCTCTGATTCTAATTCTGGACTGAGTTATCATAATTCTGGTTTAAGCTCTGATACCATGAAGAGAAAAGAATTACAGCAAAAGAATCTTGAGAAAAGAGGAGAAAGAAACGGTTAAGAGAGAAAACAAATTCAGATCTGGAAATTTTTTTTTTTTTTTTTGCTTAAAGACGAAAGCTACAGTACAAAGACACATATATACTGCTTTCTTTAGGAAAACGCAGCGTATTGGAAAAGTTCTTTCTAACCCTATTCTACTCACATATGACACTCTGGTCCTTAGACCTTTATACACAATAAAATGGGAGAAGAATTCTATTTGTTTTAATATGAATTTAGTCTAGCATGCTTGCTTTCAACATGCCCCTTGATTTCTATGACCTTGAAGAATAGATAGGATCCAATGTGGATTTGGATATCTCATATACCTAAAAAAAAATATGCCCCTTGACAATGAACCAAGAATTAAAGATGTAAAAGTTAATACAAGATCGACCAATAAGATTATAAAACAAAGACCCATAATTAATTAATCGATCTTTCATTATGGACATGGTAAGAATGAAATTAATATGCTAGAAAACGGAAGATACCCCATTAAACATAAAAGAAAGTTCATAAATATAATATTTGAATGACAAAATATATAATGATATCAAGATAAAATAAGTGGCATCATGAGTTTCATATGCTTTCACAGCCCCGACCCTGATAGAGTAAAAGATCCAGGGAAAAGCAGAAATGAACAAATAATTAACTCTTGATGTAGGGTAGGTTGTCTCAGACGATAATCTTCTTTACAAGATCATGGTCCATGGAGTTTGAAATTATTGGATTGCAAATTGTATTAATTAATTACATGCTTTCATATCATCTTTAACACGTGCTTAATTATTTTACGGCTCTAATCACCTGCATGAGATTCGAGAATTTATTTTTCTATAAATAGCGAGAAAAATAAGGCTTCCATGCAAAATCATACAAAGTTTTATCTAATACACTTGGTTTAATGGGAAACATGAAAGCTTCATCACATGCTCTCTGCATACTCTCCTTACTTCTCTTGGTAAGCATTTCTTTCTACAAAGAGAAAGATTAACACAGGGTTCAATATCGATCCTTTTTTCATATATGTTTTTGAAGCTTTTCATATAGCTTACGTAGAACATTTTTATTTTGGAAATAAATTAAGAATTTTCAATCAATAATCTTCAGTTTTTTATGGGAATAATTTTCTTTTCTTGTGCAGTTTGCTAGCTCTATTTATGGAAGGAAAGATATGGGAGAATACTGGAGAGATGTCGTGAAAGATCAATCTGTGGAAATCAGTCTGATCAGTGCAGATCCTGCCAGGTCTCTCTCTAATGAGAAACCTGAAAGCCATGCATTCGACATTGAGCTGAGTCCTGATGTTTCAATTTACCACGACGATATCAAGCCAACCAAAGAAAAAATCTTTGTTAAGAATTTTGAACCGAGACCTGATGTTTCAATTTACCACAACGATATGAAACTAACCAAAGAAAATTCTTTTGTAAAAGATTTTGAGCCAAGACCTGATGTTTCAATTTACCACAATAATATCAAACCTGAACAAAAATCTTTCATTAATGATTTTGAATCAAAACCTGATGTTTCTATTTATCATAATGATATTAAACCAACAACCAAAGAGAAACTCTTTATTAAGTATTTCGAACCAAGGCCGGACGTTTCAATCTATGACAACGGTGTTAAAGCAACTGGAAAAAAATTCTCTCTTAGAGATATCGAGTCGAGTCCTGATGCTACAATTTATGTTGATTCAAGTCCTGATGCTACAATTTATGTTGATTCAAGTCCTGATGCTACAATTTATGTCGATTCAAGTCCTGATGCTACAATCTACCACGAGTGAATGAACCATGCAGATGCTAGGTAGAGCCCCGTATTAGTATAATGCTCATAACTAGAAGATTGATCAGTTTGGTTTTCTAGGGCATGCAATAATTGAGCATGTAATGTGTTGTTTATGGAAGTTAAAATGGGCTCAGCGTGTATAATTAAGCTATGTAATGTGTTGGTTTTCTATATGAAGTGCAGGAAGAAGTTCAGCCTGTGAGCATTGTAAGATATGATCATTAAATAAAGTCCTGCCAAGTTAATTCTTCTTTAAATAATTCAAATGAAGTTTATTAAATTCTACCAAGTTTTCTATATTCTGCATTTAATTAAGAAACTAGAATTCAGAAATAAAATGGTGGCAATAAGAAGCTGATGACAGCATAAACAGCTTTCCTATGCATTCCAGAAATTGGAGACCCCCACTTTCATCATGTAACCAGAGCTGCAACAAACTCAATATCCTGCAACCGGTATTCATCTTTCCCACCATCCTACTCTGCCTCACCACTGCTTTGATCAACCTGGTAACGCGATCAAATGAATCTCAGCATGATAGAAAATTTTCCAACAGCCGGGGAACTCCCTCTGGCTTCTCAAATGCCCACAAAAGTCTGTCTAGAATCAAGTTCATGGTCAGCATAAAATGAATATCATTTTTCCCACCAAAAGAAAATAATGAATTTCCTTTTATATGTATGTCTATACAAGAATTTCAAATATTTCTATAAAATTTTGAGAACTAGGAAGGAATAAAAAGATTTTCTTCTCACCTGATTATAAGAAAACGTTTTGGATGCTGACTTATTTATATATATTTCTCGCCACCGCCCGAAACCCCTGTTAAATTACTTGAACTTTACCTAAGGAAATAGGAAAATGGATTGAACCAATCTTTAGTATTTCAAACCTTAATAAATTCAATTAAATATATAGTTCCGACTTAAATAAGGGGAATCATTCAACCTTGTTCAAAGTGTCAAAAGCAGCCAAGCTTGGAAGTCTTTTGTAAATAAAAGACTAAATGGAGTATATCTTGGAAATCTTTAACACCAAATAGCCATGTTGCCTGGCTTCTGTTATCTTTTGGTTGCTCCACTTCCAGCCATCTTTACTGAGAAATGTATTTATGTAATACCCCCAATTTCTTTTTTTTCTTTTTTTTTTCTTTTTTTTTTTTTTTTTTTTTGTATGGAGTTTTATTAAATTTTATTTTGTGATTCTGGGGGGAAGTGTAAGAATTTGAAAGCTTCAAAGGAGTATAGTGTAATAGCAGAAAACAAGTGGGGACTAACTTGATATTTTACAGACACTTTGATGAACAGTGACCATTCAAAGAAAGAAAAACAGAGAAGAAGAAGGAAAACAGAGGAAAAAGAGAGAAGAAAAGAGAGAAAGCAGAAGAAAAGAAAGAAGGGAGAGAAAGATGAAATCGAGAATAGAGAGAGAGAGGAGAGAAGAGGGCGGCGAAGGTGGCTGGAAAAGTGGTCGTTGGCAAGCAAAACTCTGGCGATCAGAGAGTGGATCAAGCATATGGGAGGTGAGTAAAGCTTAAAATTTCTCTCTTTGATGAGTTTTAGTTAATTGGATTTGTGTTGGTTATAATTGAGTGTAATGACATGAGATCACACTAAAATGGAAAGATTGAGTTCAATAATGTTATGTGGATAGAACACATGTTTCCTAAACAAAATTTGGTTAAAGATGTAATTTTGATATAAGGGTTCACTATACAAAAATTTGACCATCTAGAATTCCGAAAATTGTTTGTATGTTTTGGGGTTTTTTTTTTAAGTTGAATATCAGATATGTTGTTTTATACTTCTTGAGGAGTGTTTGAAAATTCATTTCACTCAAAAACTTGAAGAATTGAATTTTATATGGATTTTTTAAGTTGTCCTGTGAATTCTGGAATTTTTATTTTCTGCCAAACATTTATTTTTGGAAAATGATTTGATGTATCTATTCTTAACCAAATTGAGTGATTTTAAATTTTGGTGAATCCTATATGTGTCTAGTTTAATTCTAGAGAGTTTCGTGAAGTTTTGATTAAAGGCTAAATTGTTATGAATTTTACAAGTCAGTAACCTTAATTCTGGAAACAGTTGGCAAATTTGAATGAGTTGAAAGAAAATTGTGTTTTAAACAGTTAGGCTCCGTTTGGTTCACTTTTTTACACTTTTTAGAAAAAAAATTTGAAAAAAGTTAAAAAAAGTTGAATTGGGCAGGTATTACGATGTAGGATTTGAAAAATCAATAAAAATACCCCCTATGTTTATTTATTTACTAAACACCCCTATAATAAAACATTAAAAGTTAACAAAAATACCCCCAACCCACCTATTAAATACGGACAGCCGACCACCACCGCTGGAGGGTGCCCGGAGTCACCGTATCGATGCATGACCGGCTGGATCTTGCCGGTAGTGCACCGATATGGCATTTTTCGGCCAGAGCCACGGTGGATCTAGCAAGCAAAGGCCAGATCTACGGCTAGATATGGCCATTGACGGCTAGATCTGACCGCATTTGCTCGTCAACGATGGCCAAAGATACGGCAGTCGTTGATGGTCAACGACGACCATATGTTGGCAGTCGTTGACGACTGGCTACGGCCAAAGATCTAATCGTCAACAGCTAGATCTTTGGCCTTAGATCTGGCCTTTTCCGGCCAGATCCACCATGGATCTAGCCGAAAAAGGCTAGATCGGTGCACTTCCGGCCAGATTCAGCCGATAGTGCGCCATTATACCAGATTCCTGCCATCTTCCGGCAGTGGTGGCTAGAATCTGGTAAATGTGGGTTGCTGGGGTGTTTTTGCAATTTCTAAAAAAATATATTTAGGGGTATTTAATTAAATTAACAAATTTAGGGGGTTTAAAAAAAGTTGAATAATATTGTGAGTTTTTACAATTTTACTGTTTAACTTTATTGGGAATACTAATAATAGTATTCCCAAGAGTGAGCCAAACGAAGCCTTATTTATTCTAAAATGACTTGAGAAAATTTGGGAACTTATGTGTCTCTAGAATGCCCTATTAAAATAATGGCTTAAAATGATTAATAGAATTTTTATGAAAAATCCGAGAGTGACCTATGTTCAGTTATGAGACAATTTTGTTAAAGAAGAAGTTAGGTTGATCCTTTGGTGTGTGAAGTGTCCAATGATTTTAATATTGAGATGTTACCTGTGGGGGACTTACGTATGTAGGATTTATTGGATTTTGTATATAGGGAGGCAAGCAGGGAAATTGTTAGAGGATTTCAATCTTTTTCAGCTCAAGGGTCAAGCTCCAAAATGGTGAGTGGAAAAAAATCTAAAACCCTAACTTTCATTTCAATAAAAGTTATCTCTAAATGCTTATTTTACTTGTTTATTGTTTAGATTGCCTAAGGTGTTTGATTTCCTTATAGAAATTAGCTTTATTGTAATGTTATTGTTGGAAATTGTTGATTGACATGAGAAATATGGAATTTTGATACTTTTGGGCAATAGTTTGAAAAAAAAAAACGAAAATGGGTTGAAATTGTTAGATTTGAAAACATTTGAGAACTTGCATTTACATTTATACATTACATGAGATGTTTTGAAATTATTATATGCTTATGAGAAAAATGTTTTAAGAATAAATATGAGATGTTAGTGGTTTTCAAACCACTCTACGTAGTACCCATCCCTCTCATGATATTGATTTGATTCTACGCATGTGTATGATTTGATATTGCCAACCCAAATGGGTCGAAGGCTTGAGCAAGGCAGATATCGCTACACATGATTTGATATTGCCGGCCTAAGTGGGTCAAAGGCCCAAGCGAGGCAGATATCGTTACCCAGGATTCAATATTGCCGGCCCAAGTGGGTCGAAGGCCCGAGCGAGACAGATATCGCTACACAGGATATGATTGTGCCGACTCGAGTGATGTTTGGTTTCACTGGGTCGAAGGCTTGAGCGGTGACCGATTCTGCCTAGTGGGATGGATTTAGTGGTTCAACCCGCATGATGTTAGATCATGCCGGGTTGGACGGATTTACCCCTAGTACTAGTTGGGTGAGAGTTTTCAAATGTGATTGAGAGAGATGGTTTGGATATATATATGTATATCATTTATTTAAAATCGAAATTTATAAATGAAAATGTTATCTGTATATGAAATGTTTTTAGAAATGATATTTTTAGAGAAACATGAATATTGATTTGTTTACCATAATAGTTTTCAGAAAGAAATTTTGCAATGAGAGACTTCAACTTTTGTTATGACTTATATTATAAAATGTGTTTATGGAAATGAAATTTTATAAGCATGAATGTTTTATTGTATATTAAAATGTTTTATTGCATACTAACCCATTCCCCACTCACTAAGCATTTCTAGCTCACCCTTCGTTTTCAAATGTTTGTTCTTCCCCCTTACCAGGTCAAGAAGGAGATCGTGTAGAGGAGTGAATCTCACTCAAGGTTGGGCTACACAACTTTATTTCATCATATATTTCATAGCTGTGTTTTATTTTCCGTTACAAAGTTTATGTTTCTTCATCATGTATTTATTTCATGTTCTGGATTGTTAAAGATATGGAAAAATCTGATACCATACATTTCATTTTGTAAAAAATTAAATTTTATTTGTTTATTAGCAAATGATCTTATATTTACTTGTGAGAAAAAAAAAAAAATGTTTATAAATGTTTTAGCTAGAAGAATTTTATGATATTTTAATTCATAAACAGGTTCCATAGTTTTCCTACATTGCACGTATCAGTCATCCAAGTCTCATGGGTGCTCTCGGAGCCTATGGGATAGAGAGGGTCGGGATGGGTCATGTCAATTTACTTGAAGACAACGATAAAATATGATCATGTAGAGGAATTAAACGCAAAAATTTTGTTCCTTTTCTTCTTTTGAACTCTTTTGTGTTATTTGAAGCTTTCTAAACCATTTTTAAAATGCAGAGACCTTTCTGTCATGATGTTGGTGAGTGTTATGCTTAAAAAAGTAGGGTTGACGTCGAGCCTTGTCAACATAGGCGATCAGAGCTTAGGTACGTAGGTTTTACAACCATTCAGAAGAAGTCACGTTGCATGCTGACGTAAGCAGCATGCTCCTTCCAGTGCAATGGGTATGCGCCAGATTAGCGAAAGGCTAGGAATGGTCCACATGTCCAATCCCTATAGAAGTCTAGGAAATCACTCGAGCAGGCGAGCAACGGGACACAAAGAAGGATTTGCACGGCAATCTAACCCACTCACAGATTCAGTAATCATTACCTTAATTCATCCCAC